GACCTTATTGAAGTTGTATCGGAAGAATTGCCCCACACCGGCAATGACGAAGTAGAAAATGAAGCACTAGTGCCATCACCCTCCACTCCAGTGCAAGCGAACGCCGAGGCTATAAACACTCCTGTAAAAAGTGTGCGGAAAGGCATATATTCCAGAACGGCACTATCCCAAGTACTTGAAGTCAATTCTAGTTTATTGGAGGTAAGGAAACATCGTAATGAAATGGAGTTAGGCTTGAAGAAGGAGGAGCTGGCTTTAAAAGCCAAAGAAGTGGAACTGAAAGCAGATCAATTTAACTTTGAAAAAGAAAAATTTAAAAGTGATGAGCGACTCAGAATTTTGGAGCTCGAAATGCGAGAAAGAATCGCAATGAAAGAACTGGAAATTAAAAAAGAAATGGAGTTAGAAAAATTAAAATTACAAAAAATGTAAACGAATCAAATTTAAATTTTTTATAATTTCAAAAACTAAAAATTTACATTTAGTATACGACTGTATAGTATAACTAGTATAACTGGGTATTAGTATAACTGGGTACAAAATGTAATACTCAAAAAATTTTAAAAACTGATTAAAAAGTTTACAGTTTTAAGAAAATTTGTAGAATTCTTCTAAATGTCGTACCAAGTTTGGAACTTTCATTTAAATGGTTTCTCCTATAACAACGAATGGTTTAAAAATGCCATATATCAGATTTGGGTTGAAGAAAATTGTTCTAAGACGCGCTTTCTCAGCCGAGAGATTAATGTTCACTCATATTTTATAAAAGTATGGTTCTTATAACAAAAGCCACATAAATCCAAATTTCAATCTTAAATAGTACAAAAATTAAAAGAAATCAACAAAGTTTCATCAAAACTTCAAACTTTTTGATTAGAATTTCTAGAAAATGTTTTGGTATGCACTTTTATAGCCTATTAGTTCTAGTGTAAAGTTTATGAAAAATCTCCTTGATTTTTGATACATTTTTTGCAGATGGTATTGTGCTTTTAGTTCCTTATAAAATATTTTCGAACATACTCAGCAAATTCAAAATTATCAAAAAATCAACAGCATTTTTCAGAAACTTCTAACTTGCACTTCAATTTCAATATTCTAAAATTTAATGGCCTATAGAACTGCATACCAATAAGCTTTCTAGTTGGTTTCTTTGTACAAACTTCGAAGTTTGGACGTACATAGTTTTTGTTATATAACGAGCTATACTTTTATAAAAAGTTAATATATATTAAACAAACAAAGTCAAAACTTTTCAAAATGATTTGCCGCAGTTTTATATTTCACTATACATATATAAGATGTTGAATATTATAGTTTTAAAAACTAAATACTATTTTATAAAGGAGACTGAATTTAATAATTAATTTAGTATAGAAATGTATGTTAATAAGAAAGAAATAAAACTATTCAATTTAATTATCAGTAATTTTGTTGTATTTCTTCACTCATTTATAAAGTTAGCCAATCCAGTCTAGAAACAGAAGAACCCGAAAATTCAGCTGGATAAACAACAGCTTCACACCCTTCGGTTTCTTCACCAACCTGCTGATACGGCTGTATTATGTTGTGGAGAATGCAGCAGGCTAATATCCATTCACAACACCTTTTATGATTATCCGTATCATGTAAACGGAATCGCATCTCCTTTAAACTGTTGAACCGCTCCTTTAGTTTTCCAAAACAGTTTTCCACCCTCACTCTGTATTTGGAAAAGTATTTATTGAATTTGTCTCTTTTGTCCTTTGTTAGCTCAGTACTGTTTTGTCTGAATGGTGTTATCAAGTTGGCACCAACTGGATAAGCAGAATCACCAGCCAGCCACTGTTTCTCCGAAAAGTACCTTGCTGAATTTTTGCAAATAGGTGAGAGGCTGTATATCTTGGCATCGTGAACACTGCCTCGGTGGTCCAAGCTTGCTTGACGAATTTGCAAATTAAAATCGCAAACGACTTGTATTTTAACGGAATACTGCTTTTTTCGGGAAAAATACAGCTCACGGCGCTTCTGCTAGCCTAATTTCAACCCATCAACATAACCAATACGATAGCTTTAATCTCAGTTTCTGACGGAAAAAAAAAAATTTGTGTTTTAAATTAATGAGCGCTTTTATGACACGATATGTTACAATATTTAATGTGCCACCATCACCAACTCCAAACAATGTAGCAATTTTTCGAACGGATGCACTCTCTCCACTTGAACCAAGTCTGAACAGGGCAATCTGCAATTGCCGTTCTATAGACAGCTGAGGAACGCCATTTTTGTTCGAGAAAACCTTGTCGTCCTTGATGAGCGATAAGATGTAGCTGAACTCCTCGATCTCAACACGTAGCATCTGACGACATCTGTTGCTATCGAACTGCCCAAGCACACTTTGCGTCCAATCCTGTGTTTTAGGAACATAAAAATGAGTTGCTCGTCGATTTGTAAGTGTTTCCACAACATTGATGGTAAAGGCCAACATGATGCCCTCCTCATTTTCATCGTCACCTTTGAATAAGCACCATTAGAAACTATTTATAGTATGAAAGCTATTTTTACTTGAATCATCCATTAATAAATCTAGTGCATTTTGGAAGCACAGTCCATTTAACAGTTCTCCTTTTTCACTTGTAATCGGCATATTAGCATCGCATTGACAATTTTCAAAGAGCATTCAAAGCAGAATATGAATTATAAACTAAATTTTCGAATTGACCCAAACAAGAAATGTCTGGCAACAGCAGTAAAGTTTTGCGACGATTTTGCGACGACTGCGAGAAAGGGGTGCTCACAGTTTGATGCTAAAAACGTCTTCAAATGTAGACGTCTACATTTTGAGACACTATTTGGAACGAACTGTGAACACCCCAAGTGTATATTTCTTTTTCAACTCTTGTTTCTTCCACACAGGCAGCTCATCAAATTCCCAAAAAGACATACTGAAGAGAGAGACGAAGTCATCATGTGTTAAGTGCACCTGAGAATAAAAAATCTATACAAGAAGAAATAAATATATTAATTTTGCTGAAGATGCATACATTATTAAAAATGGTTTAATATCAAAATATAACTGAGTTTCAAGCAGAGACCTTTGATGTTCTAACTCTTATTATTTGAGAAATATCGATTAAGTTATTAGTTTTAATTTCTTAAGGCAAAGCAAAGTTAATATGTACTTGTACTTGTGGCCCCGAAAGCGCCCTCCTTTTCAGGAACACGACTGGCTTACAGTGCCCAATAACAATAAGAGACCTAGAAGAAAGGCAATGCGGGTTATCGGACCAAACTTTAACGGTGAAGCTGAGGTTGCTTCACAATTAAAGCGGGTGCATTTATCATCGTTCCTGCTACCTCTAATTGCATTTTTGTCTATGTTAAAAAACATACCGGTATCGGAAAACATAGTCTTGATGCCCCCACGCATCGACTATTTATACATCGAATAGAAAATTTTCGATGCATCGAAGCAAAACATCGATATTTTCGAGGCATCGATGTTTTTTCGGCATACCTAAGTTGTG